TATATATATATATATATATGTCTTCACTAAGGCATTGAAGGATTTTTTCGAGCAAGGTTTGGCAAGGAGCACCTGACGATGGAGTTGTCTCGCAGAGTCGTCCTACATCCTAAGTCGCAGATCAGATCTCTGATGCACTCCGGTGCCACCTGTGTGCAGCTACTCTCAACCACGAATCTGCTCAACTTAGCTTCTACATGCGTGGGCAAACAGCCGTTGCAAGCAATTCTCGAGCGGGAACCGGGTCCTTTTGAGTGAGGCCTGCAACCACAGTACACTGCAAGCCTGCACCCGTGCCTCGGGAACATCCTCACTCCAGCCGCCCTCGTAGAGGCTGCCGTCCGTGAACTGACGGTCCCAGCTTGCCAAGTGTCGGGAAAGACTGCGCGAGGATTGGGTGAAGACATCTGCAAGGGCACGGTTAAAGCGCAAAGCTGCCGTGAAATCAATCAGTGGGAGGAGTGTTGCCTTTTGGGCTCCTTTCTGCTTTTGGGGGCCCCTGTCATGTATCCTAAGGAGGCCTTCCCCTCTTCGAATGCTGTACCAAAGCCATCCTGGGCCCCTGTCATCAAAAGCTGGGCACGGCACCGTTAGGATCCCGTAGCCTTGCCGCAGATTGTCCTGGAACTGACCCTGGTACCGTGTACCTGCCAAGGTTTGAGGCTGAAGACTTAAGCACCAGACCCTGGCTACTCGAGTTGTGGAGCCACAGCAGCTCTTCGCCGCAACATCTTTTCTACTCACCTTGTGGCGCTTTGTGCTGGCCTACGAATACGAGGTTTGGCCTCGCACCACTCATTCTTCGAGTCTAGCCTTTGCCAGCTAAAGCGTAGGGGAGCTGTCTGGCTCAAGACATGTTCTCCTCACTTTGCGCACAGTGAGGCACAAGGGCTCGGAGGGATCAAGAAGAATTTGTGTGCTACGACGGCGCACCGTCGTAGTACTTGTAGACACCCTGGCCGTGCATCCTGCCATTCTCCCAGTGGCCTTGGCTGCGTCATACAACAGTCTCACACCTGCACAGCGACCATCCCGCAGCCACGCAAACAGACCAAGAATCCAAGATGCAGCCCTGAAGACCAAGCAGACTCAATCACAAGTCAACGGGAGAAAATTCTGGCCATGTGGCCGTCGTATTCGTCGACCTTGCCGTTCCCGGCATTCCACCGCATCCGACCTGCGCAACTCATGCCATCTAAATGCATCGAAGGCAACGCCCAAGCACACTCACGGCCCACCTCGACCGTGAAACTCCCTTTTTTGAAACCTCAGCCGCAGCCGCAACCAAAAGGAAAGCCCGGGCTCAAAGGAGTTGCTGGGATTCTCACTGGCCGTAGTACTCGCTGCCATCTTCGTAAGCCTCAAAGGTCCACCGGAGCCCAACTGTTGTACACATCTTCACACATGCACGGAGAGGTGCAGATGGATGGCTGGATGGATGGATGTATAGATAGGATAGATAGCTAGGCATGTAGGCAGGTAGAAAGATAGCTAGGTAGGCAGGCAAGCAGGAAGGCAGAGACGTAGAGAGGTAGAGAGGCAGGGAGGCAGAGAGGCAGAGAGACAGAGGGGCAAATAGATAGATAGATGGATAGTTGAATGGATGGATGGATGGATGGATGGATGGGTGGATAGATAGATAGATAGGTAGGTAGGTAGGTAGATAGGTGGATACATAGATAGACGGCTAGACAGACAGACAGACAGATACATAGATAGATACCTTGGACAATCGACAGATATAGGTGTAGGTGTAGATGCGTACATACACAAACAGATACGTTGACCTCTACCTAAACATGTACATGTACACGTGGATGCCGGTGTATGTACAATAATTGACATAACCATGTGTCTGCCTTTCTGTATATGCGTGTGTGTGTGTGTGTGAGCGTGTGTTTGAGGGTGGGGTGGGTGTGTCTATGTATATGCGTATGTGTGTATGTGTGTGAGTATGTATGTAAGTAAGTAAGTAAGTATGTATGTATGTATGTATTTATTTATGTATGCATGTATGTGGATGGATGGATAAATGTATGTATATGTATATGTACATGTACATGTACATGTACATGTACATGTATATGTATATGTATGTACAAATGTAGGCATGTACGTATGTATGTATGTATGTATGTATGTATGTATGTATGTATGTATGTTTGTGTCTATGTATCAATGTATCTATGTATCTGTGCATGCATGTATCTATGTATGCACGCATGCATGTACATATACATATATATATATATATGTATAGATATATATATATATATATGCACATAAAAAACTTCTGTATTCATAGTTGCACATATGTATATATATATATGCAT